GTAAACAGCAGGTTGAGCGAGGCACCTCCCCTGGTAGGCTCACTTACCAGCTGTGTCAGGAAGTTGTCTTCCACACACTCCAGGAACCTCCTAGACTGTTTCCTCTCTGCCGTGTTGTATTTCCAGCAGACATCTGGTAAGTTGAAGTCTCCCATGAGAACAAGGTCTAGCGATTGTGAGACTTCTGCCAGCCACTTGCAAAATACTTCATCTGCCTCTTCATCCTGGTTGGGTGGTCTATAACAGACTCCCAACAGGGTATCTGCCTTGTTGGCCTAGTGTTGGCCTTGTTGGCCTAGAACAGTGTTCTCTGTTTATTTCAGCAAGTTATATGGACTCCATCAAGGTCAGCTAGGACCTTCGTGTTTTCCGTCCTTCCTTTTTATCCATTTTCCACAGAAGGGAAAGGAGACATAAGTCAAGTAATAGCAGTCACAATGTGCAACACCCCATGATGTCTGGTGCAGTTGGACTGGAGCTGATGACTGGTCTAATGGAGCTGTCATCTCACCCGTGTTCCCAGTGCAATACTAGTGTGTGCTCTGAGCCACACCCCCTGCCACTCATACCTAATTTGAGATCTTGTGGGTGCATAGAAGAAAAAGTCAAGTGATGGCTTGAAGACAGACTTCAAGGTTCCCATCTGAGCCACCCTGGAAGTCTATGGGAGAGCATACTTTTCCCAGATTCTTTTCCCACTCAACCTGCTTTTCCCTGAGCCTTTCCCGGTTCTGTTTAGAGGCTTTGTCCTAAGGATGTGCTGCTGCCCCTTGTTGTCATGACCACAGAATGATGAACAGACTGGGAATACATAACCAGTCTTTTTTGTATGGAATACAACAGGAATAAAAGTAATTACAACTGAATTATTAAAGCATAGTTATCACTAGCTTTGCAGGCAGTCTGCTGAGACTCTGTGACCATGTGCATTTGTATGTAAGGGTTTGAATGATGTACCTGGGAATAGAGAGGAGGATTTTATTTTTATTTAGTGGTGGTTTTTATGAGAACAAAGAACTGAGTTCTTCCACCTCTCTTGGCCATGGGAGGGGTTCATCTCACCTAATTTAGCCATGGGAAGGGTGAATGTCTAGGCATCTTCACAGGATGACTCGGCCCCCTTCAGGGTGTGGTTTCATGCTCACGTTTAAGCAGTCTGGGTCCCCAGTGCCACGCTTGCACTGATGAAGATCTCACTGCAAATAAATCTTCTTTTGTTTTGTTTTGTTTGTTTTTAAGTTTATTAGCTGGTTCAGTTCCCCAGTCTGGACGGCTGCCCAATCCCCAGCCATTGCTGCCAGCATGAAAGCAGGTGTGGGAAGAAGCAGCAGGGGCAGGGA